TCTGTATTCTCCTAAAAGAGTCTTATATTATAATATTGTATACTATATCTTCTTGCTTACTTTAGCTCTTCTTTACTTTTAAAAGAATCTATAGCAAATCTTTTATTATTTCTATTTGCATTTTTGAAGATATGTATAATTTTTGCTTCTGTATATTTAATTTGTCTAAAAAGAAGTATTTTATTAGCTTTTCTTAGAATATTATATAATTTTGTAATATGTTGTTTTTAACTTTTAAAAACTTCATTTTTATTTAGTTTTAAAGTAATATGAACTAGTACATTGTTTAGTAAAGATATAGCCTATGCTTCTTTTTCTTAGTTATTTATTCTAACTAATTTGAATATGATTTCTGCTTTTATTTTTATATAGCTTTCTTAAATCAACTTGATATTTATAACTCTTCCTATATGCATTACTGCTCTGAATACTTGAATTCTTGAGATATATAATAGAATATTCTATACTATTATTTTATTTTCTTCTCTACTTGTGCTAGCTTTAGATTCTTCTTAGTACAAATCTCTTTTTTTAGAGTTTTTTGAATCTCTGTTCTTCTCATTATAATATTACTTTCTTTTTTCTTTATAGAAACTTCTCTTTCTATTCTTTTCAATTCCTTGATATCTTGTATTACTTTCTTTTTTCTTTGCTTCTATTGTGATATTTCTTACTTGTGCTTTTCCTTCTTTCTTTATCTTGTTTTTTTCATATACCATCTTTTTTTTTTCTTTATTTTTAATCTGATTTACTTAGATCTTATCTTGTACTTCTCTTAGTTCACCTCTTTTTTTCTTTATTTCTTCAAGTTTTCTTTTTGCCTACTTTTCTCTTTCTTTTGTATTTGTATTTTAGCTTTCTACTCTTTGCACTTTTTCTTACTTATTACTATTTGTTTTATTTGCTTTCTTTATTAGTGTTTCTTCTAATATTAGATTCAGTTGCTTGTACTTTTCTTTGTTGCTCTTGAATTTAGCTTTTGCTTTTTTATATTCTCTTATTATAAGATATACTATAAATTTCCTTTTGCAAATCTTTCATTAATCTTCTTTAGATACTTGGTCCCTTTTAATAACTATCTAATATATTTTCTCTTTATTCTGCATTGTTTTCTAATATATTAATTCTACTACTTTTGCTTTATATAAACCTTCCTCTATATATGCATCTTTTTTAGGTACTCATATACTTTTATCAAATGATAAACTATTATATCATGCTTTGATATATTCTTTGAGTTGATCAAACTTTTCTTTGACAATATTATTTCTTAGTTTGATTTCTGAGCTTGATTTCTGAGCTTTCATTAATTATTCTAATATATTTTATTTCTTCTTCTTCAATCTTATCATTTTTATCTTGTTCTTCTAATCTACCTACTTTCATTTCTATTTCAGAGCTTGTATCTTCTTTTTGTTCATAATTCTCTATACTTGTTATTAGTTTCATTTGCATTTCTACTTCTATATTAATTGTATTCTTTTTTTTTACAAATCTCTTCTTGTTTATTTTCTTATATCATTATCTCTTTTACTTTAACTAGACCTTCTAGTATTGTAATTCTTCTCATAGCTCCTCTTTATTGTCTTGCTACTATAAATATTTCTTTATCAATTCTCATTGCTAATATAACTGCTTTGTCAAAAAACTCCTCTATTTTTCTGCTTTGCTACATTCCTCTTAAAATAACTTTTTTCTGTATTTTTCTATAAACCTTTTAGTAACTACTTTGGAATTTTCTTTGTTCTATATGTTAATTTTATCTTTTACTTAGCTTTATTTAGAATATTTTTGTCTGATACTCTTACTCTATACTTCTTTTTCATATTATTACAAGTAACTTTATCTTTTTTCTGAAATTCTCTAGGGTTTTTTTCTTTACTAGTAAAATATCTAGTTTTGGTTAGGCATATATGCTTCTACTACTTGATAAATTATACATATAACTTCACTATCTCATATTTGTTTGTTTATTTTAATTATATATATTTGTATTATAACAAATAATCTATATTATAGAGTATCTCTAATTTCTACATTTTCAATAATTTTTTAGTTTTTTATAGTCTTTTTTTATTAAACTTCTTTTAGACTTCTGTTTTCTTATTCTTTTTCTTGTTTTCTACTTTTGTTATATCTATTTCTTGGTTTTCTCTTCTTTTTAATAGTAACTTTATTACTGTTTATTAGTAAAATTTTTGAGTTTTTTATATTTTTCTTTTAGCTTTAAAAATAGTTAAAATGATCGATAGAGAAAGTATTGTTAATTATTACTCTATATATTTTATTTTTTTTATTTTTTTATTTATTTTTTTTTAACCTTAGGCAATCTTACTCTTCATTTTATTAAGAGATATATCATACTGATATGTAAACAAATACAGAAAAAAAGAAACAAAATTCTAATTTTATGTTATGTCTTCTTTGTTGCAATTCTGGATTTACTCAGCTGCCTAAATGATGCTCAAGTATGATCTGCTGCAGCAGCAATTTTCCTTCTGAAACTAGGTGTATGTCAAACATACTTGCCTAATCTCTATCTACAGAAGGCTACTCCTAGCTAATATCAAGATTGCTATAGCAAGATCACCCTATCCTTAATCTTAGATAAATCTAAGAAGAAAGATAGAATGTTGTTTAGCTATCGCGTAAAAAAATAAAAATTATATAAATCTAAATAGCTATGATCTATAACATATTTCAAATTAGAAAAACCTGCTACAGGTATAAAAAAACTAATTTGAAAAGAAAAATAAAAAGAAAAAGTAAAAAAGATGAGGAAAAAAATCTAATCTACAAAAAGAAATTTCTCTTCGATTGATAAAAATATTATATATGCACAACATTGAAAATATATATCTCATTGTTTACACTAATTCCTTGATTAGATTCAAATATGTTGTCCTACATGTTTAACACATTTATGTGTTATTGTTTTCCTATACAATATTGTATATTAACAGACTGTTCTAATTTGGAAATGGTCAACAATATCGATCTTTGTATGGGGGTATGCCAAATCCCTATAATTTTTCAAAAAAATAACCAAAAATCGAGAGAGAGAGTAGTAGTTATAAAAATAATAGTGGTAAAAGAGAATAAAGTACTTGACCTAGCACAAGTACTGTAGTGGGTGTTTCTTCTTCCTTTTCTTCAACTTTTCCTTTTATTATTTTAGAATGAATAATATATTTCTCTAAAAACCTCGATAGCTACTCCTTGCTAAAACTAAGTCTTATACTATGCTACTTGTATCTACTCAAAAACTAGTGCCAAACTAGTTCAGGCTTGCCTCACATTGTTTCTTCTATTAAGATTGCTGTGTATTCTTTAAAATATTGGCTCTGTTATATTTTTTCAATAAAAAAAAGGTTTGTTCTACATATAGTTCAAGTAATCATCAGAAAGAGTACCTGAATATATTTTATTAAGATTTATTTATATAATATTATATTATACTTTTAATTTAAGATTAATTTAGTATAACTTAATTTATAAGAATATATCTTCTAAAACAAACAAAGTTTACTATAAAATATTATAAGATCTGAAAAATTATTCAAAATTGTTAACAATAAAAGTTGAATTCAAAATTTATTATATGATAGTCTGGTAATCTAACTACTATACTAAGATTATCAAATCTTAAAACAAAAATTTTAAGTTTTTATTACTTCTAAATTTTTTAATAAATTTAAAAAATTTAAAACAAATATAATAACTCTTCTAATAATTTTTTTTTCCAAAAAATTTGAAAAAGCAAAAAAATAAAAATTTTAGTAAAGTATAATAAAGAAGACTCTTTTATAATAACAGTTTTTACAAAAGTTAATTAGGTTTATACTTCTCTCTAAAGACTCCTTTATATATTCAATATATAAGCTAAAAATGATATTATATAAAATAACTAGCAGAAAATAGAGTTCTTATATAAAAAATTTTAGTAAAAAACTTTTAGAACAAAGTTTTTTGTTAACAAAGTTAGTAAAAAAAAGCTTAATATGAAGAATAATAACTAAATATTTTGTCTATATACTCTTTAAAGTCTTAGAAAATAACTATATATTATAAGCTTTTTCATGTTAGCTTTTTATTCATACTGACAAAAGTAAGAAATTTAGGTTCTTCCTTATAAAGATTAGTATTGTTTATTAAATCTATTTTTAGACATACTCTATTAGATACATGACTATAAGAATAAACAAAACAGAGATACAAATATGTGAAAACACATATCTTGTTTTACTCGTTTTGTTTATATTAGTTTTACAAGTATATAAGAAGATATTAACACAGAGTTAGCAATTAATATACTATTATAAGGCAATAAGAATAAATTATAATATTAGAAAGAGAACAATTTGAGATAGGTTATAAGTCTGCTAACTTAATATTTTTAAATCTAGTTCAAGTTAAAAAGTATATTTAGTTTTTTATCTTTTTTTATAGCTTGTTCTTTTATGTTACTATCTAACAAAGTTTTTAATTTAAAGCATAGTTTTATTTGTTAGTTAGCTTTAGAGTTTTTAGATAGTAATAATTTTTTTTTTTAAGTTATTATGACTATCTGACATATAGAAAGGTTTGTATTACTGAACCTAACTGTAAAGAGGAAAATGACTACTATAGCATACTACATATAGGTACTGTTTGGTAACCAGATAAATCTTAGCTGTTTAATCAGACATATTAGAAAAGTTCTTCAAATATAAAAAGTTTGTTTGCAAACTGTTTGAATAAAGTTGAAGCATAGCTGCTGAATTTTAAAAAAAAAAATTTAAAAAATTTTTTTAATAAAATTATTAGAATATATTTAAAAATATTTTTTTTTATTTAGAAAGTATATAGCTAAAATTAATATTTAAAATTTTATTTTCAAAGTAAAATTTTTTAAAAAATTTTAGTGCAAATTTGTACAAAAAACCGTTTAAAAAATAGTATTAGATATATTTATAAAATTAATAATATTATAAATACTTCTAGCAAATAAAATAGTTATTTTATTTTTCAATCTAATAAACATCTTAATATCTCTTATTTTTGTTAATATTATTTATTTAAAAATTATTTCTGTTTTAATATAAAATACAAATACAGATACAAAGATCTTTACTAGCAATCATGAAATAACTTCAACGTTATTATAACAAATTATTTTAATATTCAAGGAAAGATAAGATTTAACATAATTCAATTGAAATTTGTTTAATATTCAAAGTAATTATTAAAAATTTAAATAACATATAAAAAAAAAAAAAAAGGTTATAATACAACGTCATGAAATTTGTCCAGCAAAAATCCCCCTTTTTAACATGAATCCAACAAATAATAAAATATGATAATAATAATAGTAATATTTTTTTAAAAAAAAAAAATAATTAATGACGATGATGATGATGTGGATGAAAAACTTCTTTTACAACACTTTTAGTAAGAGCATTTATGAATTCTTTTGCGTAAGGATTTACTTCTTGATTTTGTTGTTGAATTTGTCGTTGATTCTGCTGTTGATTCATTTGCCGATTTTGAGGTCTATTTTGTGGAATATTCTGTTGTTGTTGAATTGGTTGTTGAATTATAATCGGTTGTTGAATTGGTTGAGATAAATATACATTTTTTCCGGTTGAATTAACAACATATGAAGGAACAACATTTTGAGCAGCGACAACTTGAATTTGTTGAATTGGTTGCTGTTGAATTGGGCGTTGAACGATTATAACATTTTGCTTAACAGGTTGATTTATCATTTGAGGTGTTACAATTTTAGTTTGTATAGATTGCATTTGTGGATTAGAATTGATCACATTGTTATTTTGAACATAAACTATGTTACTAGCCGGATTTTGAGAAATTACCGGTCGCGTATATGTATTAACAGAATTCATAACAGGATTATTAACGTAAACTGGTTGCGAGTTAGGATTGTTCACATATACAACCTGTGGTTGAAGTGGAAGTGGTTTTTGAACGATTGGTTGAAGTGGTGCCGCATATGTGGTGATTGTTTCATTGTTGTATTTAATACTTGAATTTTGTTGGATAACAGGACTCTTTTGTTGAACAATAGGGTTCTGCTGTTGAATAGCTGGACACTGTTGTTGAACAGGGCTCTGCTGTTGAATAGCCAAATTCTTTTTTTGAACAACAGGGTTCTGCTGTTGAATAGCCAAATTCTTTTTTGGAACAACAGAGTTCTGCTGTTGAATAGCTAAATTCTTTTTTGGAACAACAGGGCTTTGCTGTTGAATAGCTGAATTCTTTTGTTGAATAGCATTAATTTGTTGTTTAATGACAGGACTCTGCTGTTGACTCTGTTGTTCAAAACCAGAGCTCTGTTGTCGAAAAACAGGACTCTGTTGTTGAATAATGGGACTCCTCGGTTGAATAACAGGACTCTGTTGTTGAATAACAGGACTTTGATGTTGATTAGTGGGACTTTGATGATTTTGATTGTTAGGAATAACAGGATTTTGATTATTAGGAATTCGGATATTAGGGTTTCGATTGTTAGGATTTCCATTATTAGGATCTCGGTTCTGATTATTCACATGATTCATATTATTATTATTAACCTGACTCGTACAGTTCATGTCATTACTAGCACGACACATATTATCATTAGCCTGACCCATATTCTTATTAATGTCATTATTGTTCATAGATGATTTTTCATCTGGAAAAAGAATTGAAAGGTTTGTAGGAACAGATTGTGGAGAATAATGTAAGGACGGAACTTCAGCTTTCTCCTGCACTGGTTCAGAATGTTCATCAGTTTCATGACTATATCCATAAGGAGGTGGTGGGGTATCTTCAATATGTTCTGTTTCTATATTAATTTTATTCATTACATCCGTTAATTGTGCAATTTTTACACTTGGTGTTTTTGATATTTTAAAATTCGGATTTTCTTCCAAGAATTGTTGTTTACAATCTAAACTACACCATTCCATCCTTTGTCCGTATTCCAACATTTTTGGATAAGTTTCACATATATTACATTCTTCGACCAAGTTTAATTTTACAGCTTGTTTTTGACATTTTTTTGAACAATATTCGGATTGTTGGTTCGTATCTGGGTCTATACGAGCAGGTTTTTGGCATACCATACATCTAAGATTATTTTCCATGGTCTACTTTTGTATAAAAAAAAAAAAAAAAAGTTTTAGGTATGATATAAAAAATTTAAAGGTTATCGTTTCAAAGTCCCTCGTAAAGATTGGAAATGTTAAAAGATGAAATGAGTATTTTGTAAATACGTATTGTGATATCGTTTCTTTTATGTATATGTACTTCCATATAGGTATCATTAGAATGCACAAAAATTGTTACGCCAACTGTTTGGACAGGGTGATGATTTAGTATAATTTTATTTCTACTATTTAAATAATAATAAATTGTTTCCAAAGTGTGATTGAATGTTACCCAACAGTTTGGGAATATCTTTGTTCACTTTTACATCCACTTTATTACTGGTATATAATTAACAGATCACTTCTACTTATGATTTGTGTGTAGAACAAAATTTGAAATAATCGGAATATTTTGTCCGAATGTGCATATTTTACCCAATTATGGATTCAAAAAGCTAGACCAAATGAATTAGAATTTTTTTTTTATTTTTTTTCTGAAAGTGGAAAAATAAATAGGTATACGTATTTTTTTTTTGGAGATTGAGAAAATAAACTCACATTTTTACACTTACTGTTACTGGAATATATGAAATATTGGCACATATCATATACTTACGTATACTGAGAACGTGGCAATAGCGCTTATATACGTTAATACAGAGTTATGCGTTCTGTCGATGATACATATCAATTTTTGGCTAACCTATTCTTAAAAAAAATAGATCGAAAAAAAAGAAAAAACAAATCTGCATAGTAATTATTCTGAGATTTTTTTGTTAAAATTTTTTTATTAGGTGTCAGAAGTATTTATAGCGCTTTGCAAAAAGGTGTGACCCCATGATTTTCTTTGTGATGATGTGGGGAAATTTTAAATAGAGAAT